GGGGGGGGCAGGGGGGGGCTGTAAGGGATTCCAAAAGTATAGTAGGGATAGAAAGATCTAAGAGCCAATCTTGAAGGAGCTCTCTAATGGTGCTTTTAAACTGACTTGAGGTTGAAACTGGGGCCGAGGGGCATTGGGTGGGAGTGAGCATGTACTCGGGTGGTGCCAGAGGGGCCACCCAAGGAAGTGCTCAATAGCAACTCCCACTCTCGAAAGGGAAACTGATTGCAGTGCTTCTAGCTCATGTGGAGTGGTGCCCCACTTGAGTACCTTGCGGCTCATTGGTCCTCGCCCTTCCTAGGGGTTTGGGCCTTCCCTTTGGGATAGAAGTGGCGGGGGGGGGGGGGGGGTAAAGGTAACTATACCAGGCCGTTAAACCACAGCGTCCCAAAGCAAGTGTTGCATCCAAGGCTTGGGATTTAAAGGGTCCCATGATCAAATTTTGTCGTACTAAAGGATGTTAGAAACTTGGAGGTTTGTTGTGCTTGGTTGCTTATTCTTGCGGGGAGTGTAGCTGAACCTTAAGTCCAGTCTAACCTGAGGAGGGGGATTGGGAGAGATTTGGGAATCCGTGGATGGATGGCTAACGCTCCGTTGCTCATGTAGTGAGTAGCTAAAGCTAAGTAGGACCAAGTAGGAGCTGGTGCAATAAGCGGGAACCTTGGCGAAGGAACTTAGCTAAATCTAAGGAAGTGTTGGTCGGATAAATGAGGTAAATTGGTAAATTGGAAAGGAAAAATTTGTGGCTTACACTCAGGTTTTATAAAAGAATACATTGTTTATACTAAATCTCAAACAATAAAATATAAAAATGTAAAGAAATATCACAATTATAAAACCCTTTATATTTTTTTCATAAAGGAGATACCTTTATATAATAAATGTTTTGAATGCGATTGAAATCTAAAATAAATGGTGGCTGATACATTTTTTAGAGGGCTTTAATTCAAAATGTAAAAATTTATTATTAAAAAAAAACTTTACAAGGAAATACATAAATTATCAAAAAACTAGTTAGGATCTTATTAATTTTTTAAACTTTTTTATTCACATAGAAAAAAGAGAAGGAAACTGTAAGAAGGTTAATATACTATTAAATATTGCAACCATTGAGTTTTAAAAGAAAATAATATCCTATAAAAATTTGTTAATAAGCTATATACTTCACTATAGTTTTTTCTTTTATAATCATAAACTTTCATACTTTAATTTAGAGTCTCCTACAAACTGTATAAGCCATCACTAAAATACAAAAGGAAGTTGAAATTTATTAGATTTAATATTTAATAGTATATTACATTCCCAAATTTTTCTCTCTTTCTTTTCACATTAAAAAATATTAAAAAATGAATAACATCCTATAAAAGTTTATTACTAAGCTATATCCTTCATTGTAGTTTTATTTTATAATCATGAATTTTTATACTTTAATTTAGAGTCTCTCACAAATTGCATTAACCATCACTAAAATACAAAAAATGTAAAGAAATATCACAATTATAGAACCCCTTGTATATTTTTCCAAAAAGAGATACTTTTATATAATAAATATTTTGAATGCGATTGAAATCTAAAATAAATGGTGGTTAATATACTTTTTAGAAGTCTTTAAGTCAAAAGATAAAAGTTCATTATTAAAATCAAAAATTTATAAGAAAATACATAAATCATCAACAAACTTATTAGGATGTTATTAATTTCATAAGGTTTTTTAATCAGATGGAAACAAATGTAGAAAACTATAAAATGTTAATATACTATTAAATATTGCAACTATTAAGTTTGAAAAAAAAATTCTAAATTATCAACTAAGATCTCCAACAATATATCTTTAAAATTAAATCTTTTTGTATCGAAAGTGCTCATGCAATGACTATGTACAAGTATTATTGGAAATGTAAAGCTAAAAATTTTATTTAAAACTAAATCTAGGCAGTATGATAATAATTTAGGTTAATCATTATATAAATTTATATAGCCATTCTCCAAAATGATTTTTTTTTCAATTCATTTTCACTGTTAAATTTCTTTTAAAAAACTTTCGTTGCTTCATTTCTTTATTCAACTAAATATCTGAAAAAAAATTGAATTTCATTGTACAAAAAAAATAAAAAATGTTCAAAACTTAAATATTTTACTTTTTTGAGTTATTATTCAATTTATTTTTCTACCATTTTAGAACATGCCTCAAAAACACTAAAATATTAAAAAATGGTAATTTTTCATTACTTGTGGCTTGCATTAAGTTTTATTGTTACACTATAGTTCAAATCATTTTATAATAGATATCACATAAATATTTATATTAAATTTTGAAATTTTCTGCTAGAATTATTAAAAAAATTATATTTATTTATTTGAAAAAATATCTAAAAAAATTTAATTTCATCATGCTAATAAAGTAAAGCAACTTATAAATTTAATTATTTTACTCTTCTAAGTTTTCCTGAAATTTTGTTTTGTACCATTTGAGGACAAGCCATAAAAACACTAATACTTTATAAATTGTAATTTTTATTACGAGTGGCCTACATAAAATTTCATTGTTGCATTATAATTAGAATCATACTTATAAATAAGCATGATATAAATATTTAAATCAAATTTTAATTTTTACTACTATTAATAACAATTTTAACCATTTATTTTAATGGTTGTATAGGTTTATAAAACTTTTATCCACAATGACTTTTAGTTTCTGTAATCCACTTTAATTGTTAGAATTTAATTTAAAATGTTTTCTTTCTTCAATTTTTTGTTTGACCAAACATTTAAAAAAAATGGAATGAAAAAACCTAAACTCCTCATTTTGTTTTATACTATTTTTGGATTTATCACAAAAACACTTTTTTTTTATAAATGACAATCTGAAATTCATTTGTGAATCTTTTGGGATCATCTTTCAAGAAAAATTTAACATTTTGTGTTAATTACAATTTTATAAAGTAGTTTGTTATTGAAGATTAATCATTGCTAATGGCTTGAGAGCATAAAAGTTTACTGTTACAATATAGTTTGAATTATATTTATAAATGGCTATTAAATGAACATTTTTAATAGAGAGTTTTGATTTTAGAAGTATATTATTAAATATAATGTTTACTATATTGTATCATTGTTTCCATTTTAAATTTATTAGCTTTAATATTTAATAGTATATTTACATTCCCAAAGTTTTCTCTCTTTCTTTTCACATGATTAGAAAACATCAAAAAAGGAATATTATCCTATAAAAGTTTGTTAATAAGGTATGTACTTCATTGTAGTTTTTTTTTTATAATCATGAACTTTCATACTTTAATTTATAATCTTCCACAAATTGCATTAGCCATCACTTCTTTTTACATAGTCTTCAATGTTACTATACAAAAGCATTTATTCATTCATTTTTAAATAAATATAATTGTTTTCATAGTTGTTGCCTTTTTTCTTACATTTTGCTATATGAGATTTAAATTTTTTTATGCAAATATTGATTTCTCATATAAAAATAAAGCATCATCAATGACTTTCAAATGAAACTCTTAGCTTTAGTATTGTTTTAGTAACATTTACAAAAGAATTAAGCGTTCTTTCTTCACTCAATTGCTTGTAATATCTGCGCAAGCGATCTTTTGGCCACCGCCTAGTCTACAGGCTCAGGAGCAACGGATCCAGCGAAGCCATCCAGTCCCAGCGCGAGGCTACACGAGCTGAGTGATCATTAGGGCTTAGCAATGTCTCCATCGTGGGTGGCAATACGGGCTCTGCCCAATCTAGGTGATTTGCAGAGGACAAGCTGTCGCCATAGCAGAGTACATAGAGACGCGTCTGAAGATCCTCGACGTTTTGCATCGACTCTGTGGATCGGGCTTCACACCAGGTGGGAGCTAGGAGAACGTAAAAAAGGCGAGAAAACGTAGCCGGCCTGAAGTTGAAGAAGCATAGAGACGTCCAGATATTGTTGTCAAACCAAGCTCCAAGGTATGGAAGTGTACTTTCTTTCTTGTGTGTGGAGAGCTAACCTGATGCGTTGTTTTTCCAGGCTATTGATGAGGCACAGGCCGAACTGGAGGCTTTGGTGTCAGTGCCATCAGATGTTCATTTTGACAACGTAAAAGCGAGAAAACATGCCGGCATGAAGCTCAAGGCCGAGGAGGCTGGGAAGAGGCCGTGATGCCCATTGCTGGAGCAAGGTTGGAGGGGAAAGAGCAAGCTGCCTCTCGTAGCAGACAGCCTGAAGAGTTTAAACTGAAAACTGTGACAGGGAGGTGCAAGATGGATTGCACAGATCGCACAGCTCGCACAGCAGAGTGTACCGTTCGCTCAGCAGAATGCACAGTTCGCATAGCAGAATGCACAATTCTCACAACAGAATGGGCTCTAGTATTTGCCTGTGTGTAATTATATTATTGCCTGTGTGTAGTAGATGGTCTGTATGTGGCTATGAAGATCATGAACTATTGTAACCTTCCTGTCTGAAAAACTCATAGTCAATGAAGTTCGTGATGAGTTGCAAAAGGCATATAGGTGATGAGGACCTCATTTCATTTTCAAGATTCTTTAATCACGTTCCGAGGCAAGGTAAGTATTCTCTTGGGTGCAGCAACTGTTGCCTTTGAGATTGAGAGAGTGATGAAAGTGATGAATTTGTGGCGATCGCGTTGCTACTACCTCCGGGCCAACGCAGTGGAATTCAGCTATCACAAGTGCGCCAGCAAGCTCATGTCGCTTTCACCAGAGATTTTCAATCCCTCCGGTGGCCTCAATCTGATTCGCTCTATGGAGCAACGCGGGAGATTTTCTTAATTTAAAATTTCTGGCTCTCGAACTTAGGGTTCTTAGTGATCCTATAAACCCTAAGTGGTCGATTCGTGAGCGAGGAGGGAGGAAGGTGTGGCGCCAATCCAGGTACTCGGCTTCTAGCACTTTCATGTCCAGTGTCCCCACGCCTGCATCCGGATCGACACTTTCCCACCGACAATTCAGCGAAGACGCTCAATCTCATGGCACAGCCAAATTGCCAGCAGGAGCGGCGGCGGGAGCTTCGTGCCCGGAGCACGAAACTTCCAAAATCCGCGCGCTCAATCCACTGGCCAGAGAGTTTGTCCCTGGTATGTCACTCCTTTCATTTCGAACGAGTAGAAATTTTCTAATTTCCTTGTGATTGTGATTTTACACATTGTAGTTGAGGAGGGATCTCCTTCTTCGCGGTCTCCGACCAAGAGAACATCGGTAAGCATGATGATGCTCGTTTCCCAAACACCGAGTTTTTTTCCCTTTTCTAGAGTCGTGAAGGATTTCCTTCAGCACCAAGGAACTTCTCAGTAAGTGTTCAAGTTTTTTTTTCCCATAAAGCGAGGATTTGATCTGATTGCGTTTGACATGAGCAGGATCACGACGCCGCAGCTACAAGCTCCGAGGCAAATAGTGGGGTGAAGGAAAATTGGGTGGAAAGTGGCATGCCCCACAAACAGTCACAAAAGCTGCAAGAAGTAACAGGAGGACTCTCAGCCGCTCTTAAAGTCCCTCAAGCAGGAAAAAGTTCTCTCAAGATGGGACACGAATTTACTTCTTCTCAGCACTCAACCCAGCCATCATCTTCACGACGCGGACAGACATGGAACGCGAATCATCTACTTAACTTTCACTACGATCCCATCGTTCGACCGTCCCCAAGGCCTCCTCAGCGCAGGCAGCATCAGAAAGTTCAGGCTTACGACAAAGAGCTCTTCTTGCAAGCAAACTTTCGGTTCTTGGTCTCGGATTTTGGGGACTATTTGGAGAACAGCACTGACCCAGACAAGATGCTCGAGTGGGAAGACATAGCCATTGTGGAACTCTCGTCCTCGGTGGCTATCCAGTGTCCGATATGCTTGGAAAGTCCACCTCTGTGCCCACAGATCACGTCGTGCGGTCACGTCTTTTGCTTCCCATGCATTCTACGATACTTCTCCGACGCGGACCACAAGACTCACGTAAAGAAATGCCCGCTCTGCTTCGGCATGACTTCTCCTAAGGAGCTGCGCACCGTCTACATTCACAACGTGAAGGAACACAGGCCAGGTGACAATGTTGGCTTTACGCTCTTGACGCGGGATAAAGGGTCTGTTATACCGTTCAAAAGAAACGAGTCGAGGGGATCACCGGCTTACACCAAGGATGGACGTTGCCATCTGTACTCCAAGTTTACACTGACATGCGACGTCGAGATGACAACAAACAATGCCGTTTCGGAGCTCACAGCATGGGCTGAGAGAGCTCAGTCGGGCGATGACGAAGACATCGAACAGCTGCCTTTTGTGTTTGCGGCAATCGATGAGCTTAAGTCGAGAAAGGCTGCTTGGGACGAGCACCGGACGTTGGAGTTTATCTCGAGCAGCCCATCTGTAAGGCAGAGAATTATGGCTCAGGTGAAGGCTGGAATCACAAAGCTGCCTGGAGAAGACTTCGAAAGTTCTAGCTCAGCTGGAAAACACCATGAAAAGCAGGAAGTGTTGGAACCGTCGCCGCCGAAGCAAGAAGGCGTTTATCACATCAATCCGTTCACTGATGAACGAGAGTTGGTTGATGTAGACAAGAAGCCAAAATCGAAAGATTTGCATCAAGAGGACGCACCAGAGGACTGGGAATCCATCACTTCACCTGTGAAGACCGCGACTTATAAGGACGCCAAAGACGCTAAACACGAAGAGACTGATTCTTACAGCTTTTATCAGGTTCGTTGTATCATTGCGGGGTTTTACTGACGTGTTCTCTTGCAGGCCGCAGATGGTCAACTCGTCATTTTACATCCTTTGACAATGAAATGCTTGGTTCACCACTATGGATCGTACACGTCTTTGCCTTCGAGGTAATTTCTCTTGCATGTTTTTCTATTCTGATTGCTTACGATGTTCCAGAGTTGAAGGGAAAATACTTGAGATGGAAGCAATGATTCAAACCGAGCTGTCGAGAAAACGATACCGCTATTTGAGTCATCTACCACTTACTAGCACCTTTCAGGTAATTTGGATATTTACAAAGTTACAACAACAGATTATTCTGATTCTTAAACCAGCTGTGCGAGGTGGACCTCTCAAAAATCTTACCAAGCTCGTCACTGTCTCCCTTCAAGGATGAGCTACATGCTCGAGAGGTTCGCAGACAGAGACGCCTGAAACAGGTACAAGATTTGTTTCTCCTAGGCAGAATTGTCGAGCGAAATTTGCATTCAGGACAAGATGCTTAAATCTGCTGGGCAAAGACTTGAAGAGAAAGTGGTGCCACCATCTCCAGCAGACTACATCGCGATCATGAACGCCCTTCACGAAGACGAAGTTCCAAACGACAGTGAGTTTGTCGGTAAGTCTCAAGTACAAATGCTCACACTCGAAACTCACCCGCCGGATTCTTCAGCCGCTTCTACAGCACCAGTCCCGGCCTCGTCTCCACCTGTCGACGAGAGGAGACTCTTCTCGAGGGTGGCCAAGCTCGGCTTTGCTTCTGGACACGATGCTCCGGATCTCACGAACGACGGTCTCTCCTCTAACAGGCCACCGATCCAACAACAGTCGCCATGGAACCAAAAACAAGCTCCGGCTGGAAGCAGCAGCGGTGAGTGTGTTCCAATTCCTGCTCTGTTCGCTAATCTTCCAGCTCGAACACTCTTGCAGGAGGAGCTTCCCTTTCTTTCGCGGACGCCATACAGAGAAAAGTGGAGAAGAAAACTCCAGAGGCTCCCTCGCGTGGAGCAGCCCGCAAAGGCAAAGTTTTACTTTCTACTGGCAGTGGAAGAAAGTACTGAATAGTCAATGTGTTAATATAAATACAAAGTGTTCAAAGGGTCAATGGTGTTTATGGTTTTATTCTCGAATATGCCTTTGGAGATATTTGTGCTGAAAGATCAGCTTTCTTGGTTGCTCCAGGACAGACAGTGCACTCCTCAAGAGCTTGCATCCCGACTTCAACTACAGGTATAACAAAAACAAACTGTTTTCTAAACTGAAATCTGTGACACTCTCTAAACTGCCAACAATGTAGGCGTTTCATTAAAAGTTTCAGACCTCTGAGAACGATGGCGACGAGGAGATCTATCCTCAAGCAGCCCCAGATGGTTTATTACAACAGTTCATAGTCTTCATGGCCACATACAAAACATCTACTAAGCATATAATACTTTTGAAGCAAATACTAGGGCCTCCATAGTTGATATTCTATCCTCCACACTAGCATTCTGTTGTGTGAGCTGTGCATTCTGCTGAGCAAACTGTGCAATCTGCTGTGTGATCTGTGCAATCCTTGCATCTTGAACCTCCAATCCTTGCATCCTGACCCACTGTCACAGGTTTCACCATCTCCAACCTTGCTCTAGCAATGGGTATCATGGGAAGGCTTGGCTTGAGAACACGTTTCCACGCCTCTTCCAAGCCTCCTTGCCCTTGAGCTTCATGCCGGCTATGTTCTCTCGCCTTTACGTTGTCCCAATGAACATCAGATGGTTGATCTAATAGAGCCCTAATGGCATTGACTCACCTTCCAAGAACCTGATTTCACAATCAACAACACTCACAGTGCAAAACCCTAAAGTGATTGCCAAAATATCTGTTAACTGTTCTTCCCGAATATGCCTTTGAATATATTTGTGTGGCTAAAATATCTAAAGAACCCTAGAGCGCCGATGATAATGTGAAAGACCGGCAAGGGCAAATGCTGATGGCGCAGGTAGTGAGCTTGCAGGCGCCAGTGCCGGGGATTCGCGCGGCGGGGGCGCTGGACAAGGATGCGCTATCCAAGCAGCAGCAGCAATGCGCGACCAATTTCTCGTCGCCAGGTTTGCGCTGTTCTTCCACTCAGCTCGGGCAGGGCCGGGATTCGGCCGTGTGTAGGGCTAGGATAGGCAGGACATGGCCGAATCCCAACTACAAGCCACCAGAGGGCGATGGATGGAACACCGGATCGACTGGAAGCTCGCTACCGTGGAATGAGGGCGGGGGAGGCGCTGCCCAGGCGGATTCTCAGTGGAACAACCAAAATGCCGCCGGAGGCAATGGGCAGCAGCAGAGTGGCGGCTGGAACAGCAATCCGCAAGGCTCTTGGAACAATCAAAATTCTGCGTGGAACAACCCGGCTCATGGAAATCAGAGTTTCTGGAGCAATCCACCGGGCGAGCAGCAGGGTTCTAGTTGGAACAGCGGTCCTGGCTCGCAGCAAACTTGGAACGCTGGGAATCAAGGTCAGAACACTGGTTGGAACAACAACGATTGGAATAAAAACTCGTCGGGTGGTGGTTCTTCGTCTTCGTGGAACAGCGCTGCCAATGCAGTGATTGATGTCACAAACACCACTACTCCTGCTGCTCCCGCTCCTCCGGCTCCTCCCGCCGCCAACACTACCACTGGAACGGGATGGAACAACCAGTTTGGAGGCAGTCCTTCCCCGAGCTTCAACTCTTCCGTAGCAACGAGCACTGCTTCTACGACTGCTCAAAGTCCGATTCCAACCGGAAGTACGGCTCCAAGTTCACTCTGGGATACTACGCCGGCATCCGATGCTCCAAAGCTAGGTGGTGCTACGACCGTCACTGGCGATGCCACCACCACTTCCACTCCGACCGAGTCTCCAGCAATCGGGGGCCTCGCTCCTCAGAAGCTTTACCGCGACGAAGACGGCTGGCCCAGTCCGTTGCTGGATCCCGAGTACAAGCCCTCGGACGAGAGCTTTTCGTCCGGGTCTTTTCGAAGCTCATCTTTCGGGAAAGGTGTCGGGAAGACATGGCCGAACCCAAACTACAAGCCACAGCCCGGTGACAACTACGTCTACTCGTCTGGCGGCTCTTCGTTTAGCAAATACGGCAGCGGGAAGACGTGGCCAAATCCAAACTACAAGCCAGAGATGAGTGATGGTCGTGACAACTTCGTGTCCTTCAGCAAAGGAAGTGGCAAGACATGGCCGAATCCGAACTACAAGCCGCAACCTGGCGATCCTCCGTTCGTTAGTGGCTCCGGCAAAGGTGGCACTGGAAAGACTTGGCCGAATCCAAACTACAAGGGTGATGATCCGACTTATGTCTGGGGTGGTGGTGGCAAAGGCAGCGGGAAGACATGGCCCAATCCAAACTACAAGGGTCCTCCCCCGATTTACGTGACCGGAGGAGGCAAAGGTGGAGGAAAAGTTTGGCCGAATCCAGATTACAAGGGTCCTCCTGTCGGCCCCGAGTTCGCAGGATCCACGAAGAAAGGAGGGAAGACATGGCCGAATCCGAATTACAAGGGAGACGATCCAACGTACGTAAGGGGTGGCAAAGGCAGTGGCAAGACATACCCGAACCCAAACGTGAAGCCACTTCCAGGAGAAAACCCATGGAATGCGTAAGTTCATCTGTTTCCTTTTCTCTTTCTTTCCTCTTGTGACCTGACGTGTTTGTTTTGCAGGCGGTGGTGAATGTTAAGTGACTCAACGAGTAATTCTCATCTTTCTTTTTGTATCAGCATCGCACCACGTAGGTACGCATCTGAAGTTAGTCTTGGAACTGTATGGCCTTTAGTTCTATCTGAATATCATTTGCTGTTTCTTATCCCGAGTTCTATTGTTGGTGTTTCTTATCCACTTTAAACTAAGGCGCTCGTACCTTGGTCTAAACTGACTAGTGGTGCCGAGTAAATCGTGGAAAAAATGTCGAGCGAGATTCCTGTAAGCCTTTTGTTTCTCAGGTTGGCTTGAAATTCTTCCGCGTGACCCGTTGCTTCTTTGTCCATGGCCAGCTTTCGAACAGTAGCATTTTTCTTTGTTTTGCACTTCACAGCATTCATCGATGCAACATCAAAGGTGTAACTGTTTGCTGAATTTGTTTTTTGGTTCGTGTGTGCTTTATATACTTGTTTTCCACAGTCATATATTGTTTATCTGGGAGGGCCTTTAGAAGAGGGATACAATGTCGCTTATCTTCACCACCAAAAGCTATCTACAGTTCTTGGGTACAAGTTACACTTCTTTCTTTACAAAATGAGCTTACTTTCAGAACCAGACACGAGCTTGCCAAGGAGGCAATGCTATATAGCTACAAGCACCTCTTCAATGGATTCTCAGCAGTTATCCCACCTGACAAGGTTGAGAACATTTCAAGTATGTCTCGAAGACTTTATTATTGCAAGTAATAACGTAGTTTGAATTGTTTTGCAGAGTTGCCTGGCGTTAAGATGGTCCTGGAGGACAAAGTGTATAGACTCCAGACGACGAATTCGTGGCAGTTTCTCGGTCTCCAAAATATGAATGGAACCGTTGCAAATGGAAAGATCCAGCAAACTAGAAATAACGGCGGCCAAGATGTTGTGATTGGTATGCTTGACACAGGTACGAATACCGTGTGATTGCTGTCCTTAAGACGACTTTTCTTGTGAATTCTTCAGGCATTTGGCCAGAATCGGCAAGCTTCGATGATAGCTCTTACGGTCCGGTCCCAGAAAACTGGAATGGTTCTTGTGTAAACACCACGGATTTTAGTTCCACAAGCGACTGCAACCGGTGAGCTTTTTCAACACTCCATTTGTGAATGCCAACAGCATGTTATATCACACAGGAAAATAATCGGTGCCCGATTTTATTTTCAAGCCGCAAATGCGACGCAACAAGACGAGTCAATCCTGCTATCGCCAAGAGACACCGAAGGCCACGGCACGCACACGGCATCCACCGCAGCCGGAAGTTTTGTCAGGGATGCAAACTACCGCGGTTTTGCTCGCGGAACTGCTCGAGGTGGCGCGTATGGAGCTCGGCTCTCGATTTACAAGACGTGCTGGAACAATTTGTGCTCGAATGCTGACATTCTGGCAGCGCTTGACGACGGTATCGGGGATGGTGTGCAAGTTTTCAGCATCTCACTGAGCGGTGAAGGAGCTATCCCTGAGACAAAGGATCCACTGGCCTTTGGAACGCTCTATGCGGCCATGCATGGGATTTCCATCGTTGCAGCGGCGGGAAACTATGGTCCTAAGTATGCCACCGTAAGCAATATAGCACCCTGGATGATTACCGTTGCTGCTACCACAACTGATCGGGCCTTCGCCAGCAACGTCATCCTCGGCGACCTCTCGAGCTTCATGGTAAGGAAAACGTATTTTTTACAGGAGCTTAATTGCTTACTTCCAGGGTGAAAGTTTATCAGAAGCTGCACTGCAATCTGGATTCTATCCCCTCGTCGCGGCTTCCGATGTTTCCCTTGCGAACATCTCAAGGTAACTATCCGCTTGTTACCCTTTGCAGAAGTTACTGTAACTTTGCTGTGATTGAAACAGTGACTTGAGCATGATGTGTATTCCTGGAGCACTCGACCCTCAAAAATCGCAGGGTAAGATCGTCTTGTGTTCAGACAGTGGTGTTTCTTTAGTTGTGAAAGGAGTGGCTGGTGCACTTGCAAAGGCTGCGGGTTTGATCATTTACAACAGCGAAATGCAAGGCGAGACTTTAGAGGCTGTGAATTATGGCCTGCCTGCAGCAAACGTTGGATACAAAGCTGGACAGGCTATTGTTGCTTACATGCAATCGACTGGGTAATTTCTCTCTATGCAATTTTTTGTGGTTTTAAGTTTGTCATATGATCATATTATCCTGTTGTTTTTTACAGGAATCCAACGGCATATATAACTCGTTCTGTGACATCAACTAGTGGTAGACCCGCTCCGGAAGTTGCTGCATTCTCTGGTCGAGGTCCAAACTTGGTTTCTCCAGAGATTGTCAAGGTACTTGGAAGCAGTTTACTCTGGAACTTTCAGCTAAAACTTCTTTCTTGGTGATGTAGCCTGATATTGCTGCTCCAGGAGTAAGCATACTAGCCGCGTACAGCGAATTTCACA